TCTTCTCCTCTTCTCCTCTTCATCTCTTCACCTCTTCTCCTCTTCATCTCTCCATCTCTCCATCTCTTCATCTCTTCACCTCTTCATCTCTTCTCCTCTTCATCTCTTCTCCTCTTCTCCTCTTCATCTCTTAAATTCAAACAAAATGTGAATAAATAATTTGACACAAACTCAGATTTGTGTAAATTGTAAACAAATGGAAATGATTTCTAAATATTCTGTGACGTCACTCGACCTGCGGGCGGCGCTGTGGTCGCTGCCGCTCCATCGTGATGTAAAGATGACGTCATTAAGTCGGTTTGAAGTCACAGAACATTTGTGGGAAGGTTTTGAAAGTTTGTGTTGCAGATCCTGTTTGTCCTGAACTGAAAATGTTTGTGTTGCTGTCGTCGATCTGCTGCTGGACTCGAGTCCTCTGTGCTCTCATGGCTCTGAGCAAAGCATTATGGGAGAGCGATGCTCCAGGCTGACCTGGCGTGTCCTGTGTTTTAATTTCAGAACATGTGACGTCTAACGCCAGCGATAGTGAGAGTAGCTACCGTAAGTCTGACGCTGCCTGATTCACAGGAAACACTAATGATTGACGTGACCTCCGACCTACTAACCCCTCCCCTCCCTGATCGCATTAATGAGCACAAGCTCTGATTGGCTGATAACAGCATGACATCACACATACAGTTTACCTGCTCGCTAACACTCCTGAACACAACAGGAGTGTGTGTGTGTGTGTGTGTGTGTGTGTGACACTCACTCTCGTGCACCTTGTTTCCAGGTGGACAGGAGGAGTACGTGTTGTCATATGAACCCGTCGTTCAACAGGAAGGTAAAAACATCTGGTGCAAACATGAAAAGACAAAATGTTCATTCAGTAACAGTGAACTCATCGTCCTGTGATGCTTTGATCTGTCTCCGACAGTGAGCTACACTCGTCCCGTCATCATCCTCGGCCCCATGAAGGATCGGATCAACGACGACCTCATCTCAGAGTTCCCAGACAAATTTGGATCCTGCGTCCCGCGTAAGTGGCGTCAACCTCCAGCTCAGGGCTCACCTGCTCACACTCGTGTCTGAAGATCATGTGATCACGTGGATTTAAATCGTTCCTCATCCGCTCCCTCAGATACGACTCGGCCGAAGCGGGACTACGAGGTGGACGGCAGAGATTATCACTTCATGGTGTCCAGGGAGCAGATGGAGAAAGACATCCAGGACCACAAGTTCATCGAGGCGGGACAGTACAACAACCACCTGTACGGAACCAGCGTGCAGTCGGTGCGAGAGGTGTCGGAGAAGGTAGCGACTGAATCTGTGTCACATGTGAAGTCGTCGTGAAGATCGGTCGACTCATAGACGTAAAAACACTCCAGAGCTTGTGTCTGCAGTTTATTTATCAAGAATAAAACAGTTCAGATACTGGAAACATGCTGAGTCACATAATTCTGTTAAAATCAATATCAAATAAAGATAAAATCATTTCGAACATTCATTCTCTTTGCAGCAGGAAGTGGAGGCCTCTGTCTTCGACCTCACTGAACCACAGACAATCATCACTTAATAAATACGAATGCTGCCCTCTTGTGGTGACGTCAGACTGTTCTGAACGTAAAGAAACATGTTTTTCCCGCCCTCCTCAGGGTAAACACTGTATCCTGGACGTGTCGGGGAACGCCATCAAGAGACTCCAGCTCGCTCAGCTTCACCCCATCGCCATCTTCATCAAACCCAAATCAGTGGAGAACATCATGTGAGTCAGAACCTCGACCGCTCCACTTCCTGTTTGTGTTCCGGGAGCCTGACGCAGGAAACAGTGATGGTCTTGTTTTCTTCCTGCAGGGAGATGAACAAGCGACTGACGGAGGAGCAGGGACGCAAAACCTTCGACAGAGCCACCAAGCTGGAGCAGGAGTTCACCGAGCATTTCACAGGTGAGGCGGCGCCCCCCTGTGGCCTGAAAAAGACTTCTGGGACTTATCAGAGAACACACACTAATTCACCTGTGTGTGTGTGTG